GCCGCAGCGGTGGTGGCAATGAGGGTGGGATCTGAGGTGATGAGATCCATGAGCGTAGTCCCAGCGGAGTTCGCTATGGCTGAGCTTGAGCAAGAGCTAGAAATTTTTAGGCTCTGATGACCGGATTGGAAGTCTAAGATCTAAGCGTGGTGATTTTTTTCGGAGCCGATTTGGGACAGTGTTTGCCTTTATACGGGTCCGGCGGGTTCGGTGGGTCAACCTGTTTAATAAATGGGTAACTTTGGGTTGACCCGTTTATGACCCGACCCATATAATTCAACCCATACCCATTATAAATGGGTCGGGTTGAGTTGGGTTGATGGGTCGGGTCATAAATTGCGACCCCTAGTTTGAAGTAGGCACGAAGAGTTTGGTTTGAAAAGTTCAGATTCATTCTCCTTTTTCATTTACTCAGAGTCAATTTGACTCCTCCCTTTTTCTACAGAGGACATCTAAGGGCATAGTTGTCCTTGTTTATGTGGACGACATCATTATCACTGGTTCCGACATGGAGGCCATCTCTGAGATTCAAAACTTGTTACACCCTACTTTCCACATGAAAGACCTTGGCCAGCACACCTATTTCTTGGGGTTAGAGGTTTATCATCGGCCTCAAGGTATTTTCCTGAATAAGCACAAGTATATTCAGGTTCTGGTTCAGTTAGCCGGACTCACAGGCAGTACTTCTGTTGACACCCCAATGGAAATCAATGTGCAATATCAACATGACGAAGGAGACCTTCTTGAGGATCCTACTGTATGTCAGAAGCTGGTTGGTAGTCTTATTTATCTGACCATCACTCGACCGGACATCTCTTATGCTGTCCATACTGTCAGCAAGTTGATGCAATCCCCTCGGCATCTCCACCTTTCTGCAGTTCGATGCATTATTCGATACATCCTTGGCACACCTAACCTTGGCCTATTCTTCCCTACTGGTTCTTCACTCAAGCTACAAGCCTACAGTGATGCTGATTGGGCCGGCTGCCCAGACACCAGGAAATCTACTACTGGATGGTGTATGTTTCTTGGTGATGCTCTTATCTCTTGGAAATGCAAGAAGCAAAACTATGTCTCCAAGTCATCCACCGAAGCCGAGTATCGCGCCATGTCTGCTGCATGCTCTGAGATCATTTGGCTGCGTGGTCTACTGACAGAGCTTGGTTTCTCCCAAGTATAACCAACTCCACTACATGCTGACAACACTAGTGCCATCCAAATTGCTGCCAACCCTGTCTACCATGAGCGCACAAAGCATATCGAGGTTGACTGCCAGTCCATCCAAGAGGTTTATGACAACCGGGTTATCACCCTTCCACATATCTCTACCACTCTACAGCTTTTGGATATCTTCACCAAATCCATAACCTGTCAGCGCCATAAAAATTCTTGTTGGCAAATTGATGCTTGTAGACTTACCAGCATCAAAATGAGGGGGGATGTCAAACGAATCAGCTGGCTATTTAAAGCTAGCAGATTTTATGCCTTGAGGGTATCCTCTATATTTGTAAATCTTTTATTTTTTCCTTAATTAGGATATACTAGCTGTAGAATTTGTATATGGTAGTTTAGCTATTTTAAGGGCTGAAGATCAGCTTGTATTCAGTAATTAAGAGGAATTATCCTCCAAGAGAAAATATATTTTTTGCTCAAAATTTTCTAAGTTTATCAAAAAAGAAAGTGGTATACGTAGAAAAGCCAAGATCGTCGACTTTGAAACGTAGGTTAGACATCAACCCGCAAGGCTCTAAACTTTATGATGTGTTGTCCCTTCATCCATCTAGTTTGGGAATGAAAGTCTGAAGCTTCAAAGAACCAGAAACATGTAGATCCTGATGTTGCCAAATTCAGAAAACAACAAAATACAGCTGATTGTGAGAAGGGAACTCGAGTTCCTTGTCATATATTGTTAAGTTACTTGAATTTAAATTTTCAATGTGAGCCAAGCCTTTGTAGAGCAGCTAAGATGTGCTCAAGAGTCTGTCGATTCATCTTATGCATAGGAATATTAGATTCATATGCCTCTGTTCATCGCAAGTTTCTACGGAGGTACACTGCATGTAACAGTTGTGTTTTTTCTTTTATTAAGGCGCAATGCATTCTTCTTTCAAGTTTCTGTTTAATAGCCAAGCTACAGAGACTGTTTAATAGCCAAGCTACAGAGACTGATATGGTTTTCCGTTTGTATGTGAGAACATTTAATTATTTTCTACACATTGGTGGTTTTAAGGAACAGTACTGATCTGTATGTCAATTTTAATTACTACCTACCGAAGTCTCAACTAGTTTGCAATAATAGAGTGTTGTCTAACTGTGCCCTTTCTCCTGCCAATTTTTCTGAAAAGACTATTATCTTTTGCTGCTGCAGCATAGGTTTCATATTAGGATGCAGAGCTGAGATTCTGCAGCTTGATGTCACCGATGTGAAGATGGACTTCTTTGACTGAGCCGCAGAACAATTGGATGTATATCACCCTCAGCAGAACGATAGCTACAGCAAAGATACACCTTCAGAAGCAAATCCGCTAACTTCACTGTTGGTCAGCTGACGGGGTTTAGCCCAGCGTATTAGTAGACCGAACGTCTGTGGAGAAGAGATGGATGGTGCCAGTTCGTCGCAGTTTATAACTAGTTTAATTCTGATTGGTCGGCAAATACTCTGTTTTTGCAGCCCTTTGTTTTGATCCATATATATGACGTCTATGTAACATTAACCAATTCTCACGTTTAATATCTCCATAGCTGTTCGTTCAGTATGTTACTACTAGTTTAATTAAAACTGATGTGAGATGGTGTAGTGCACAAGTCATTTACTGTCGTATAATCCGAGCAGGGTGCCAAAAAAAAGAAAGGAAAAAAAGAAGAAAAAATGCCATTTCTCAAAATATAAAAGATAAGAATATGCGTATACGCATATGGTGTGTTCATGCATGCATTGCTAGTTCTTAGTTAATTAATTTTCCAAGTAAAATACATCAAATTTAGGAATGTATCCATATACTCGGGCCTAATGTTTCTCTATAATTGTGAAGTCGGTACAGGTTACATTTTTCTTCACCGGTTTGATTATTTATTGCCTGCTAAATCTAAGCATCCAGGCGTAACATTCAACTAGAAAGCAGATCATTGCATGTGAATCTACCTCCCTGCTGCTGAGAGGACAAAATCCATAGGAATCAGCCTTCTCAAGTTCACTTTACTACTTTACTGGATGTGTTCGCGTTCAACTTTTCAGCTTTACGCCTTTGGATCGTCCTAATTTAACTCCTACACCTGGGGTTCGGATTCTCTATATTATTAATTGCCGAAAACCCCCTACAATTGGCTATGTGGGACAATAAGATTGATTTGTTTAGTGGGTCCCACGAATAGAAGAATTTTATATAATTTATTTAAAAAGTATTGTGGCTCTATAGGATGAGAAGATGTTATTGATGAGTTGTAGAGATTCGCTACAACCAAAGTTGTAGAGGATGTCTACCACTCGAACTGGATTATGTCATGTTTTTATGAATTAACTCAAATGAAAGGCAAGTATCCAATTTATGGGTGCAGTTAAGATATAATTAGAAGGGGCCAAAAGGGAGCACAGCAGGCCAGTGTTCCTTGTTGATTTTACCTCTTTACTATAAATATCACATTGTCCTAAGCAAGTTCATGGGATAATATGATCAACGATAAGTGCCTGGTAATACACTAACTACTGCATTGTCGAAAACCTCTGTTAATTTCTCCGTTGGAATCCTCCTATCCTATCGAGATTATTGACGGGATTGCTTCTTGCTTTAGTTTTGTTGAGATAAAGGAAAGAAGCGTTCTTGATACCTACACGGTATGGATGAGATGGATGAATAGATTACTTGGATAGGAGGCTGACTACTCTAAAGATACAGATATCACCACTTTAGAACAAACGAATGGATAACAGGTTTAGCTGACCAATCTAAAGATACAGATATTACCATTCTAGATAGATGCGACGATTCGCCTCTAATGAACCCACCTTAGAGATATGGATAAACACTCACGCTCAATGGAATCCACCAAAAAAATGCATAGCAATGATAAAAGCACAAAGTTTAACTTTAATCAAAACATCATCACCATTTCCACTATATCTCCAAACTATTCATAGGTTTGAAACAACCCTTCAAGCGTGGGAGATACGAACCTAGAACTAGAAAAAGACATGTTGACTTCATTAATTAACTTAGGAAACTTAAAATAACCAGTCTAGTTTTGACCCCTAGTTGGTATTTCAATTACATATTCATATACAAATCCAAACTTCAATCGGGGTATCATTTAGATCACTTCTCTAGAGAAAGTTACCGCTAGAGCAATTAAGACTATGCACATAGGTCAGCGAATCTAAATTTGCAATTTGGGCTCGATCAGCTTTATATATTTCTGTTGATAAACGTTAAACTAATACATTAATTGAATATGGGAAACTCGCGCGGTGGAGGATAGCAAATTAAGCATATAATATCTTCAAAATGTTCTCCCTCGACATTAATTAGGAGATGACCAAAGTCCAGTTTGTCATGAAGAGATGAGTAATTTGCATGTCTACGACGAGGAAGAGAGCCTTCTCGAGAGAGACCCACAAAAACCGCTTCGTAGGGTAAGTTTGGAAAATGATCTCTGCGAGTGACGAGGAGGAAAAGAAACTTTGCGATCAGCGATGATGACCGGATAAAGAGCTCCACGAGCGAGATCGAGAAAGAACGTTTTCGAGCTATATATGGGGCAAAAAAAAAAAACAAAAACAAAAACAAAAACTTTGTTGAGTGAGATAAAAGGATCGTGTTATGCAACGGCGTGATGTCTGTCAAGGGTGCCCGAGACGATGCTGAGAGATCTGAAGAAGCCTAGTAAGCGAGGTTGATCCGAGGAGACGCTGAAGTATTGTCGACGTGGTGTGATCAGTGAGGCCGGGGATGTACAATTGAACACAAGAACTGCAAGCAGGCTTCATCACTTGAACTTCTGCTGCTCGGATCGAATCTTGAGCTTGAATTGGAATCTCTTTTGACCTGACCGCCGCATGTTCTTCATGCAGCAAGTGACTCTCACAAATAAATTAAGAGGTAAATTAAGCAACAGACAGTCAGTGATGATAGTATATAACTCATTGGATGACGAAGCCGGCGGATCTGAGGCTGCTGCAAGAACTCCTCACCGACCTAGGTTCAAGAAGGACAAAGATCCATATAATTTAAGTGCTTTGCTCTACCATATTCAAATATATTTCATAGAAGGGTTAATACCTCATATTTATACGCTTAATTTTGTGTTCAACATATACTTGATTTGTACCAATGTTTTTACTATTAAGTTACTTAAACTTGATTAATTTGAGACTAGTAAGACTTGACTTAGTTTGGGACAAGTTCATGGTGTTGCTTTTGCACATTAACCTCCTCGCACTTGGTTTATTCCACTTAATTCCTACAAGGTGACATCGTGAACTTTGACGGTTCACCTGCCAAGCATGTGACAGCAGTGAACAGCGATAAATGTTAGGGAATTTGTCGGAAAAACTTTAATGTTCAGTGAAATTAAGTGCAACGCTCCAAAAATTAGGAACAAGTTGAATAAACAAAGTTTATGGGGTTGTGTGCGAAACCCCCAAAAGTTGGGGATGTTAAGATGTTGTTTGGTTCGTTTTCTAGATATAGGAAAATACAATTTCATGTAAAGAAACTCAAGTTTTGAGTTTTCCAAACTTTTTTCAAGAAATAGATTGTTTTGGTTTGGTTCGCATATAAAATATGGTGGGAAACCAATGTATTTATTTTTCTTGTGTTTTGGTTTGGTTCGCATGTAAAAAAGGGAAAACTTTTGTTGATTTGATATTTTTTCATTTTTCTTTTGTTTGGTTGGTTTTGAAGTGGGTAGGAAAAAATATTTATGGTCACCATGGTAAGATTATCCCCCACTATAGACAAATTAATTCGTGCTTACTATGTGAGGTAATCTTAACATATAAAGGTGTGAATGTAACATGAACAGATAATAATATCCCGAATTCATTATAAATTTCTGTTTGTATTAATAAAATCATACGAAACCTAAAATAATATGAATCAATTGCTATGAACTGCGTACCTGATTTGACTTGAAATATATTTGTTTGAGATAAAAAAATCACACGAAACCTGTTTTCCAAAAAAAAAAAAAAACGAGACCTATAATAACTTGATTATTCATAAATTTATGAAATACGTACCTGAATTAGCCAAAAATTCTTATGAAACCTATAAAAAACATATAAAAACCCCGATTAGCCATAAATATGTATATAACATAGCAAATCGTATCAAACCTAATAATTTATGCATGTTGATGAACTTTATGTGCAAATAAGAATTTGAAAATATGTCTTGACACCATGTCAAATAAATCAGCCATATGTGTTAGACCCTAGAGGGAGGTGATTAGGGTCTTGTGCTAATCTAATTCCGATTTTATACCAATTAAAACTTATTAATAAGTTATCCTAGCAAATATAAAATACAACAATATATGTGAGCTAGGATAAATAATATACACAAGGGTAAACAAAATAAACAAGATAGTGGATGATATAAATAATGAGCAATGGATAATGGCGACAAAATATAAACATAAGAGTAAGTGCGCCAAAGCAAACTCAAACACACGATATGATCACGCAATTCGGATCTTCCGTCTTACGTCTCCGCTCCCTACTCCCGGGGAGAAAACCACTATCACAACCGGGTTTTTTACGCTTACCCGAATAACGTTTACACCATACACACGGTTTTCTAGCGAACCGAAAACTTTACAATCAATACTCTTGCAATCCCACTCTACACGCTCTCAAGTGTTGGACTCTAGACGTGTCTCCCTCAAGTGCTCGGATACAACCTCTTCCTAGGTTCATCAACCGACGTCACTCCTTTTGGGACGATCCCCGACTCACACCACACACTTCTCTCGGTGTACAAGTGTATTACAAAGTGATCTCACAATAAAGCACAATTACAGTAATTGTTTGTTCTCTAATATGGATGAGAACACAATGAAAGCTCACACTCAATTGTTATAACTCTCACCAACCCAAATACTATGTATGAAAATACGATAAGCTCAAGTGGGTGTGTGTAAACAATGAGTGAAATAAAATCTAACTCAAATAGCAAACTCGCAATAATAAGAATATGAAAATCAATAATAAAATTGCTAGAGAAAAGAGTTAGAAAAACTTCTCTATAAACACAAAGAAGATGATGAAGAAGATTGAGAATGAATCCCTTAATTTGCAACGAAAACTTCCTCCTTTGTAAACAAAAATCCCAAACGAAAACCAAACTAAACAATCTTAAACCCTTATTAACCATTGTTTAAAAACTTCTTAGATTTTTAAAGAATGAGAGCAAGGGGGTATATATAGCCACCCAAAATCTCAGCCAAAAACCCCAAAGGAAAAGACCAAAAAGCCCAAGAATCAGAAATCTGATTCTGTACAAACATAGTCGTTACAGTGCTATGGGTCGACTCGTCACTGTTCATGAGTTGACTCATAACTAGCCGTTACAGGCTAAAAATAACTTGTAAGTCAACTCATAAAAGTCATGAGTCGACTCGTCATGGATGGGTCGACTCATGAAGTCATAGGTCGATTCAGCAGAAACAAAACATATTTTCTAGCACAGTTTATGAGTCGACTTATGACAGGCATGATTCGACTCAACCTGATGGGTCGACTCATTGATGTTGTGAGTCGACTCGTCAGAAACAAACTGTAAACTACACGATAGTTTATGAGTCGACTCAACACTGTTCATGAGT